CCCCCCCCTCTCCCCCTGGCTGTCCCTGTGTGCCCCACTGCAGGCTGTGTCCTGGCTAAACGATCTGGTACCAATGGATCAGAACCCCAGAACTGGCTGGATCCTCTCTCATAATGCAGTAATGATGGACATCTGCAGTCATTAGGGTTACCATCTAATCCAATTCAGAAACTATACTTCGAGTTACAAACTAACTCCCCGAGTTAAAAACTGAAAGGCTACTGTGTTTTGCTAAATAGTTCAGTTCTTCTTGTGCTCTGACTGGTTTGTTTTCTTGATTGAAAGACTCATCCAGCTGTTTCACATTAACATTAGTGACACATGCATAATTATAGGAGTCTGACCAATCAGCACACAGCAAGAACTCAGTGCTTAAGTGAAAGCCAAGTCCTTTTGATTGAAATAGTATTTAACAAATCCTGTGGTAGCTAAATGTGTCCTCCTTGACATGGGGTAAGTGATAACCCTAGCAGTCGTTCATGCCTCTTTCTGCTTTTCTCAGTTTTACCTCACACAAAATCACACATTGCTTTTGGTCAGTAGACGATTTTTTTCCTTCTATACATTTACGTTCATTAAAAGTCATCATTGCCATCCATCTTTACTCTCCACAGCAAAGTATTTCAAGGGATGTGAATCAGTTCTATTTGTATAATGTACAATTGCCATATCCAACTGTCGGTGCAGTTCTATGAGATGGAGTGGACCCAGAATGAATAACAGTCTTTAGCAGAGGTCATAAGCTATTCAGACCTACCACTGCATTCAATAAACCTTAATATCTTAAACACTAATAAACACAAGAATGCAATTAGCATTAGAAGTGAAAACTTGACTGCACTTAGGTTCCTATTTTGGTATTGGATACTGACATCTCCATGCGGATCGAGCTTCTGCTATGCTAACACAATGCTTATTCCAAACTTCCACTACCTTTGCTAATGAAATGTTTTCTGTGTTTGATCCAAACGGCTCTCCATACTGCTTCCTCTTCATGGAACGCTGTTACCATGCCTGTAGGAACCTGGACCTCTGTATGCCGACAGCACATTGAGCACTAGTGTATTCATACGCACTTTGATGCAAGCTTGACGTCACACGCCTTTCAATTAAAATGTCATCCCCATGCCTGGGGTGTGGGGCCCTCCGGTGGACTGGCAGAAAACACAGCTGATTAAAAGAGTGCTGGGAAGCTGTTTATGGAGTTTCATGCCTCATTATCACCCCCAAGTCCTCCTATATCTCGTTTTGTCTTATATGATGTCTGGCTTATTTCACAGGCCCTTACAGGCTACGTTTTCATGGTCAACAGAAGTCTAAAAATCAGGTGAGGCTATGTTTGGATAAGTGGGGTCCAAGAATGGAAGTGTGGAAGGGAAGAGTGAGAGCCCTCACTTGAGGACTCTCACTCTTCCCTTCCACGCTTCCATTCTGAGTGAGAGCGAGAGTGAGAGCCCTCACTTGAGGACTGTGGGTTGCTACATTCAGCAGTACATTCCAAGTGTAAACATGCTTAACTAGATAGACAGTAACTATTACGTGTGCCTGCCATGCTACTCCATGACTATAGAGTGACACTGTATGTAGTTGGTTGATAAACTGATGCGCTCCTTTGAACACCGCGTAAGAGGTAAATGAAGAGTTAGAACACTAATGTCATGCTAGGCTAACTACCATGTGAATTAGAACTAAAAATGTCATACAGGTAGAGACTGTTGGCTTTCTGTGCAAAATAATTCATTACAGACTCTGTTTTTATAAGGGGGGGGTGGTGGAAGATATTCTGCTTGGTATCTTGTGAGTCTGTCTATAGGGCAGCTTGGTGGCCATCTCCTGGCAACGGTAACTTCATAGTTTCCTTAGTTACAGAGAAGTCGCTATTATGTATTCAAGTGGATTATAAAGGGTAACGGCAAAGACATATGAAAACATATGGAGATAATTGGAGGGTATCGAGGTATTGTGGTTGGAGTTTTAAATATTTTTAGGACTTTATTTCCGTCGTCCATGTTTAAAATTGTGCAGCAGAGAGTCATGGAGACCCTGCTGACTATCGTAGGAAGTGCAGGGCACAGGAACAAACTAGATGGATAACTGTTCCGTCCATCACAGGGCACCAACATGGACGCACAGCCACACACGAGAACACAGAGAATCTGAAAGGTTTACAGAGGTCAATGTGTATAACAGCCACA